TATTCTGTTCTTTTTTTGTAGATTTTTGTAAAATTTTAATCAAATAATAGATTTCTAAATGTAAATATCGATAAATCCACTTACCAACTTTGTAATTGAAAATATGTAGTTTTTTTTGTAAATAATTTATATATAATTCATAACGTTTAAGAAAACTTGTTTCATTTAAAAACTCTTTTACAAAATTGCAAAATAATGACACGAAGGCGAAGGTTTCTTTATTACTTAATAACTTGTAAAGAATGAAAATAAAAGAAGCCTCCGCGGTACGTAAACTCAGAAATATTGTGTTTTTTTTTCTTCTTTTATAAATCGTCGCGAACATAATTTCTCTGTAGAAAGCCGCACAAAACTTTTCGTTTATGTCACATTAAAATTACTAATTAAGTGAGAAACGTAACGTCACGTTTTCTTCTTCATTGTTAATGAAAAAAATCACAGGTGGAACGCATCTCTGCTATTATATTTTTTTGTTGTTATTGTCGTTTTTTTTAAGCGCTTTAAGTTTTTTTTTTCTGTTGGAAGTGAATTTTCCGCTCGGCCGCGGACAAAAAGGAGTTTATAAAAAGTCGCAGACATCGCGTTTCTGGTTCAGTCAGAGCCGTTGATCTGAACGTGATGATGTTTGATTCAAAAGTCCTGGTGATGTTTGCCTTCGTCTTCGTGGTCATCTGCAGTGTCAGAGTGGAGGGAAGACAAGGGGCGAGGAATAACCGCAGGATGCAGGACGCTCTGAACTATCGACAGAGCAGGTGTAAGGATAATTAACTTTGTATTGGTGGGGTGACGCGATTTAACATTTGCCCGGCGCATCCGCCGCAAAAGTTAATTAATTTGGATCCGAGAGCGTGTGTAACGCGATACGGAATTGTTTCTCGTAATTGCAATTATTTAGTGAATAATTAATAATTTTGGCCGAAAGTGGCCGAAATCGATGAAGCGAATTATTAATAATAGTAATTACGTACAGATAAACATTGTGTATTACACAAACACAAATTTTACAATATTTAATTTACAAATTTTTCATTTATTCCTCATTTATTGATAACAATTATCAACAATTATTTAAGAAAACTGTAAAACTTTTCAAAATTATTTTTTTCTATTTTTTCTCATAATTTTTCGATAAAAATTATTGTAAAGTTTCTGTAAAATTTCAATGAATGAATTTTTGTAACAAATTTCTGCAAAATTGAATAAAATCTAACAATTGATTTCATGTGCACAATTTTCATATTGTGGTACTAAAAATTTGTTCAGTAACTATGATTATAAGTGTACAAATTTAAAATGAAAATTTTGTAACAAATTTCTGCAATTTTCTTGGAAATTTCTATGAAATTTCTAAAAGCTAATAAATGTTTTTATAGATTTTTAAGAAAACTGTCAACATTTTCCAATTTTTGATTTTACTAATAATATTTGCATTGTGGTTGACTATTTTTTATAGAATTTATATATATTTTCTGTTTCTTTTTGCATACATTCTTGTAAAATTACTATGAAATAGGTATACAAATATAAGATTTATATGGCAATTTCTATGAGAATTGTATATGATATGAGATTTCTATGGGACTTCTATAAGACGATTTCTATGAGATTTTTACATAAATTTCTAAATTCGATAATTTTCCAACTGTTGGAATATTTTCTATAGTTTTTGTTCGTTTCTTAAGGAAACTTTTAAACATTTCTATCATTTCTCATTATTGAATTATTATTAAATATTAAATCAAAAATACAAAAAACAAACAAATTAATTAAATCCTGTAACAAAAATTCGCAGAATTTCGGAAAACAAACAAAACAAATATGTCAAACATGAAACGGATCAGATCCGTATTCAAACGCAATTTAATTAACCGTCCTCGTTCCATCATTCGGAAAATATCGACGATCCGCTAATTGCATGACGTTAATTAGTCCATTGTCCATTCTAATTATACGAATATACCCCGGCTATTTTCGCTAAAATAATTAAACTAATATTTCCCATCGAAACGCGAAATTAATTTTTGTTTCCGTTCGACGCAATTCCATTTACGCTTCGCAATTATTTACGAAATCCGCCGCCGCCGAATTCAATCGAGCTGCAACAACTAACAGCAATCGAGTGCGCTTCCATCCATCGCAATTTGCGCAAATAATTTGAGTTTAAATGAAAAATAAAACATACGTATGCCTGACCCATTAAAATATCACAATTTGAAATTTGTGCAAACAACGCGAATAGAAAATAAAATAAATCACATTTATGTAATTTTGGATAAATAAGGAAAAAAAACTAGTTTTTAATCCGGATTAGTTTGGTTTTCAAAAAACTTGCTTGACATTAAAATCACTGTTGTAGGCGTCAAAAACGTAATCTAAATATCTAAATATCAATCCAAATATATTGATTAGTCAGTTTCCAATATTGAAAGTATTTAAGAAGAAACAAAACAACATTTGTTAGTAAACTTTACCAAGGTTAATAAATTCGATTATAATTATTACAATTATATAATTATTGTTCAAATATTAATTTATATTCAAATTACGTTTATACAAAAATAAAAATATCTCTTTGTTATTTCATCTTTACTTGTTACAATTATCTCTTTGACTAATTGATGAATGCAGATGTTATTTTATTACTTTTTTTTCCGAATCGGTAGACGTTGCGCTGGGAATGAAACGGTTAATATTCAAACGATTGAGTATAAAGTGGAATTGGATCATGAATAATAGATCGTCAGCTACGAATCCCCGTTTGAATAAGCTAAGAACTTTGGGAATGATGTATGTGTGATCGCCGCGAGACGGATTCTGATAAATAGTCCGAGATTATTCTAGTGCTTTCGCTACTTGCAAATTACTCTCATCTCTCACTCACTCGCTGCACTGATTTTAATCATCAAACATATTATATATATAATTGTATGAAATTTCGGTATTAATTTTATCAATTTTTAATTATTTATGCAAGTTTTGTAGCAAAACATTAATTGCAATACACGTATAATAAGTAAAAATGAAATAAATCTTTTTGACTAGTTTTTATATTCTAGAATTAACAGCTTGTTCGGAAACCGAGGATTTTTTTTTTAAATTTTCAACAATCGAAGCGTTTGAGAACCGACGTTCCATTGTATTTCTCTGCTTTTTACTGAATGAAACTTAACAGAAACATGTGTTAATTAATCATTTGTACCCTTCCACAATGAAATCTTATAATTAAATACACTTAAAATTCAGATTATCTTAAACATTTGAATAACTCTATGTTAATCTTATGTAAATTACGTTTTGTTAAATGTATACTTCTTGTTAAGTAATTCTTACTTAATGCATATAAACTAAATCACGTCTTTACTAAAATAAACTTTTAGTGGACTTTACTTTAAGTATACTTAAAATTAAGTTTATATTTCTAGTAAAAAAATTCTTATTAAATTTATATAAACTTAATCTCACCTCTACTTAAATAAACTTTATAATTCTAATTGACTTTACCTTAAGTTTATTAGGATTGTAGTGGAGATCAATACTCTTGTCACATTCGTGTATTGCTTGTAATGAAATTCCTTTCAGATCGTTTTTGCTTTCAATATTGTTGTTTTTTTTTTTTATTGCAGTTTTGTCTTTGTTCACGTTCGTGCAATTCAGCAACCAGGAATGCATGGGTACCGGAGGCGAGAACGGCACGTGCCTGACCTCGGCCCAGTGCACCCAGAGGGGCGGCACCGGCGGCGGTCCCTGCGCGGGCGGCTACGGCATCTGCTGCATCTGTGAGTCCTCCTCACAACAAAAACCCTTCAATACCAGAAGATTTTTACGCAATTAATTTATCTAAATATATATGAATGGATGGATGGATTCATACAAATGTTTCATTCTTTTTGCAGTTATGGCCACGTGTGGGATGACGATCAGAGAGAACGGCACGTACTTCGTGAACACCGGATACCCGACCCCCTACGACGGAACCGGATCCTGTCAGATAACCCTGATGAAGATGAACGCAGACATCTGCCAATACCGGTAAACGCAATTTTCATCATCATTTAACAATGATCTAACAGGTAACATCTTTCAGCCTGGATTTCCTGCAGTTCCAATTGATGGGACCAGAACAGCAGAACAACATCTGCAACAATGACCAGTTCATCGTTTCCGGCGGTGGAAGTCCAGTTCCTCCAATTTGTGGCCTAAACAATGGAAATCACAGTAATAATTATACTTTATATACAAAAATCAAAGATTTAACTCATCAATTTTCAATTCAAGTGTACATAGATGCAGGATCAGGATTGGGAACACCCATGACACTCTCGATGATCACAAGCGGTCCATCCTTCAGAAGAAACTGGAAGATTCGTGTCGTGCAGATTCCTTGTACATCGATATACCGAGGTGAATCTTAAACTTCTTTTCATTTGAACCTAAACTTCTATTATCTCTTCATTCCAAGAGAATTGATGTACCTAAATAAGCCTCAAACCCTAAACTTCTATTTTGACATCTCTTTATATATCAAAGCGAATCTAAACCTTAAACTTATTTTCATTTAAAACTAAACCCTAATTTTCTTATTATTTATTTAATGTCTTCATTTCAAGACAATTGATATATCATCATTATCAGTATACCGATGTAAACCTAAACCTTAAATTCTTAATCGACAATGAACCTAAACCTTAAACTTCTTTTCATTTTAACCTAAACTTCTATTATCTCTTCATACCAAGAGAATTGATGTACCTAAATAAGCCTCAAACCCTAAACTTCTATTTTGACATCTCTTTATAGATCAAAGCGAATCTAAACCTTAAACTTAGTTTCATTTAAAACTAAACCCTAATTTTCCTATTATTTATTTAATGTCTTCATTTCAAGACAATTGATATATCATGATTATCAGTATACCGATGTAAACCTAAACCTTAAACTTCTTTTCATTTTAACCTAAACTTCAAATATCTCTTCATTCCAAGAGAATTGTTGTATCTAAATAAGCTTCAAACCCTAAACTTCTATTTTGCCATATCTTTATAGATCAAAGCGAATCTAAACCTTAAACTTATTTTCATTTAAAACTAAACCCTAATTTTCTTATTATTTATTTAATGTCTTCATTTCAAGA